CACTTTTAAACCATGTTCTTGAAGATTGGAACTCAGCTAATAATGATCAGCACAGTTGAACCTTTTGAGCTCTTATATCACCACCAATCTTACATTTCAAAGACTGAACGATAACCAGACACCATCCATTATCAAATAGTCAGAAGTTACTCATTAATGACAATTCTACCAACTCTAACTCCAAACAAAATCTTTTTTTTTTTTTTTGGGCAATATGGTCAGCTCGGATTAAAAACATGTATAGTCCATAGTTACATTTTGTTCTTGTTCCTTTCCTTTCTCTCCTCTTTCCTTTCTTTCTTCTTTTTATATAAATCAAATTATTAATAAAAATTGAGAAATTGCTCTCGGGAAAAATGTCCCCGTCCACACATTTCTCTAGATGTTTCCCAGGCTTCACATTCCTGATCAATATACTCCCAGGGTATTTGGCAGGAAGATCACGACATAGTGAAGCAGCCCATGGATATTCAAGCCTTGAAATTGCTATCATGTGAAGTGTTCAAAAAGCTGTTGCTGACCTTTCTGATGACACTTCCACGCAGATCGCTATAATGCGTATTCAGATTTAACATTTGCTACTCCTAATTATGCCACAACCACCACATATGTTTGCCGTATGTTTCTGTGGGGATAATGCCTTTGGGCGATAACATGGCACATCTTTAAAGCTATGTTTGTTCATGAGAACAGGCAAAAGCATACCCATCTGATAATGTTTTCAAGGACTTACTCTCAAACTGAAAATGGCACATGGCACTGCAAGTCACTGCATGGTACTACAATGTAGCCGTATTAACAGATTCAAAAATTATCTGCTGCAAGGGGAAAATAAGGCCAGCCAAAGTCTTAAGCACTAATCAAAAGTGAGTTTTTGTTGCTTTGTTTTCTGGGTGATGGTACACACAGATATGTCCATAGAGGCCTAAGTCTAGTTGCTAGCCCTAGCTAGAGCAGACTTGTTGATTCAATGGGATTTATGCTCACTTCAGCAATTGATTCACTGGGTTTACTCTGCATTCAGGTTTAGGGCAAAGATTTAAAGATGCTGTTACAATGTACCGTATTTTTCGCTCTATAAGATGCACTTTTTCCCCACAAAACAGGGGGGTGGAAAGTCTGTGCGTCTTATGGAGTGAAGAAAACAGATTATTTTTTCCTGCTTTCTTCTCCTAAAAATTTGGTGCGTCTTATGGAGCGAAAAATACGGTACATTGCACACTTTCTGTGTGTGCATCTGCACTGATCAGTAACGTTTCCTGTGATACCTGCCTTCATTTCATGTTCTGTCCCCATTATGATATATTTGACTGTCTAGAAATAGTGATATGATGTAAAATGTATTTTGACTGGAGCAGCGTTCCCTCTAATTTCCACTAGCACTGCACAGAGCTCCGCCCGCAATCGGAAACAAATCAGCAGCAACATCGACCTGGCTTTGCGGGATTGATGCAGCACTGCGCGACTTAGAGGGAACTTTGAGCTAAAGCCTTAATCGTGCCAATGGCAAGCCATCTGCTCCACACATTTATTTGTATCTTTACGCAAAGGCACAGGGAGAACAGTAAAATCTATGAAACATGAAAAATGCTGGACTGAATAAGGAGGGTAAAAGCGATGAGTTTAAAAAGGGCTTCTATTCTGATTCAGAAAATTTAAGCTCTTTTGCCTGTGCCAAAGGAGCATAATTGAAGTAAGGTAGCTACTCACAGCAAGCGCAATAACAGTTACGTTTAGCTTTGAGGCCACATTTGTTATTAGCATCAATGACAGCATGACTGCAGAGTAATTAGTGTGAATATCACAACTTATTTTCTTCATGTAATAAAGCAATAAAATGACTGTGTTGTTTTGAAACAAAAATTTCTTGTGCACTAGATAGCAAATAGTCATGTGTGTGTGTTTGTGTGTGTGTGTGTGTGAGAGAGAGAGAGAGAGAGAGAGCAATCTATTGCTTACTCACTGTACTCTGGCTTTGCAATATCTGAAAATGCCACTTAGCTAATAAGTAGTTACATAAATGGCTTCTGATGGCTTTGCTTTTTGTTTTAGGCTGTTGAGGTTCATCAGTTCTGATCTCACGTCAGGAAATATCCTGATTGAATGAGCACATGTGCTGCTGTAACAACTCGATCTGCATTAGCTGTAGGACTGTACTTGGGCATGCGCCAGGAAGAGGAACCGAAAGCACTGCTGCAAGTTCTGATGCTTGAATATAGCCGTTTCTCGAAGTGTAGCAGCCTTCTTCAGCACTCCTTTCCTTTCCTGTCTTTGAGGCGCTTCTTGCACTTGGCAGGCCTTTCCAGATCACTTAAGAGTTTTAAAAGCAGCCGGTAGTTCTTTGGATGACACCCAGAGTGGTGTAGTAGATAAGAGTAATGGGCTCAGGAGGCCGGGGTTTGAATCACGGAAGTTCACTGGAGATGTGGAACTAGTTAAATCACACCTTAATTTACCTAGCCCTGTTAGGGTTGCTAAAAGTCAGTTCTGACTTGGCAACACATCCAAAGATTTCTTTGGATACTCTGTCTTGAAACAAAACCAAGATTAACACCTACCATTCTTGTATAGCTTCTTGGACAAAAAAATAACAGTGCAAATCACTAACAGTATCCTCGAGCAGGAGTTAGGAAAGTAGCCTTCCAGATTTTACACAACAACTCCCCTCATCACTGGCCTTGCTGGCTGAAATTAATGGCAAATGGGATCCAGGAAGAGACCATAGGTTTCTCACTCTTGCCTTAAGGTCTGCCTTTTCATTGATCGGAACTATGATCTCTTCTCAATAGCTATGTCTCTTCAGTTGAAGTTTTGTTTGCAACCTCACATTCTGTCTGTGATTTGTGTACTGAGATGGGTTTTTCTGGGCTAGAGTGATTCTCTGTCTAGCCCTAACCAATTCAATGAGAGCCCTGCCTCTCTGCTGGGTGTAACTTTCCCTCTCTTTCCTTGACTGCTGGCAGTTGTTTGTTGTTGATCTCTTCAGCTGGTTGCTAAGTATGTGTGCAGTAAAGAAAGCAGCATACAAAGTCTGTAATTTCAAGCAATTGTAAGTAAAAATATATTTGTATTCTACAAATGTCTCAGAGTGAGTTATTGAGACTTTAAATGTCACTTATTGAGAAAGGGATGAACTCTGGCAAACTTATAGCCATTCTCTTCAATGAATCTCTTTTACCAGAAATTCTGCAATATCTTCATGATGACTTCGACTTTGAAGAAAGTAGTAGGAATAGTTTAGTGGGATACATTGAAGCAAATATTATTTACACGCCATCAGCCTGAAGGTCAAATTAGGAGTTAACTTGGAACCTTGTTTGTTGTTTTTTAAATGGAAGCTGGCCTTCAGAATCAAATATCATCTTGAGTGAATAGTAAGTGCATATTCATTTTAGGAAGTTACATGTTTGATAGATGGGAAGGTTGTGGTCTACCACTGTGGCTGGGAGAGAGCATGAGCAACCGTGAAATCAGACCTAACCCTGTAAATCTCAGTTCAAGGGAGCAAGACAAACATTCCACGGTACCAGCAAAATCTGTTTGTTTCAATCCCTACCTCACCCTGTAGGAACATGGTTGCTTATGTAAATATAGGTATACCTTTCTCCACCTTCAACATGGAGAAGGGCCATAGGGTCAGCCCTTGGCATCTTCAGATCAGGCTTCAAAAGGACCTTATACAAAACCCTCGGAAGCATCTGTCAATCATGCTAAGGATAAAGCAAAGTCCTTTTTCTTACTGTCATCTGGGTGATTTCCTGCTCAGAATGACTCTCCCCAACACAAGCCAATTTCCACCCACCTCCATGTTTCTTTCCTCCACAAACTAAAAAGCAGACAGGAAGCAGTTTTAAGTGGAAGAACATCTAGAGTAGGAAAGGATCAGTGTCCCTACCCTACATCTGTTCCTCACAGAGCTGTTTTTCTGTAGCTAAAGAAACATCCTGCATAGTGTTTCATTTGGTTCTGAGCTTTCAGCAGTAGTGTGAATTATATTATCTAAGATATTTTTAAAAGGAAACTTGATTTGAGCTTCAGTCATGAGTAGACTAACTAGTTGGTGGTTGTAATGTTGAACAAAGGAACTGGCTCAGCTGGAGGCTACATGGCTTTTGAGGAGCTCCTTGAGAATAAGGCATCCTCAAGAGTAAGAGCCCATTGCAAAGACCTTCCTCTCAGGGAGATCTAGTGCCAGAATGGCTGCTTTTGAACTGGAGGTGTGCTCATACAGCATAGCTATAAAAATGGCAGAAGTGGCTCAGTCAAGCTGTTGAGAGCAATACTCACAGTGAGTCTCAGAGTTTCCTGTCTCTTTCATGTTCTGATTTGATCTGCAGGTGCCTGACTTTGGGTGGTGCTTAACTTTGCCTTTTGGGCATCCTCTGCCAGCTTGCTGTTCTGATTTGGAGCGCTGCTTGCCTTCATCTTCCGTTTACCTGACTTGCTTGTTTTCCAACCTTGGCCCTCTGCTCTCCAACTCAAACCTTTGGATTCCCCTTGTTTTTCCATTTGGTGTGGTTCACCTGCCAGAATTGACCTTAGAGTGTTAGCACATTGGATTCTGTGCATCACCAGTGAGATGGTTTATCTTGAAAGAGGACAATTCCATGCAAACAGGCCTCCATGGGGGCAAAATATTCAAAGAGTGTGCCCATGGATTGTGTCCTTGTTTAGGCTTGAACTATAAATAGGGTTCTGTGATTTGTATTTGTTCTTATGTTTATGGTGTTCCTACATGTTGTTAAAAAGGACTCGTACCACTTCAGCACTGAGAGTTCTTTTTTCCATTGTTCTATCTGCTGTGTATTTAAATGAGATGTCTTCAGGACATGGAGTCAGATCACAGGATACTGAGTTGATGACCCGTGCTAACTTCCAAGCAATGACCTAGAAATTAAGGACCTGATATCCTGCTTCATTTATTTGAAGAGATACAGTTGCTCACAAGATTTCACTTTAAGGAATTTATTCTGTCTCTACATATTAAGTGATTTGCTCATTGCTACAGTTGTTTCATAACATAATCTTCTTCCCATGAGGGTATCATGAAACAGTGCTCAGTTTTCACTCCCTTGCTTTTATTCTTTTCTGCTGTTGCTGTTATAAAAACATAATAGAAATAGTTACCTGCTTATTTTATTTGTGAGGGGGAAACAAGAATAACAACATAATAAAAACAGTTTAAAGCATATCTAAAACCACAGGCATAGTAGTATTGAATAGAAGCACCAAATGCTTCCAGCACAGAACAAATGTTCTTTCATGTAACTCTGTAGAAAGTTAGTACTGTATAATGAAATTTGTGGCACCCAGAAATATTTGAAATGTGCTTTAAAAATGAGAAAGATTTGCCTGGCAGTTATGCTATGTGGTAGTTTATAGTAAAAGCAACATTCTGTTGTATTTGTTATAGGCTCTTAAATGCTTGTTACGGTAAAAATAAATTGCATGGTATTTAGGTTTTATGTTGAATCAAAATATCATTTGCTGAACTGTTTTCCAATCCAGTGCTCACTTCTAAGTGTATTAAATACAGTGCACACATGGAATTATTCTGCATATGAAGTTTTCCTTTCTTCTTATTTGCATTTTATTACAGAAATAAGAGCCAATCAGCATATGTAGACGCCCATCCTTTGAAGTGAATCATTCAGTGGCTCCCTCCATTGAAGTGAATCATGACCAGCTGCAGATGGGGGTTCCATGTGCTTGTTAAATTAAATGTTTAAGTATGGATTTCATCATTTGAAGTCTGATGTTCATAGTTGTGCTGTGTAACAAAAGGGAGGATTAGCATTTTGTGCATCACAGTGAACAATAATGCACCTATTTTTCCCCTTCTCAAAGCTAAACAGGCAGCAATTCCCATGTCAAAAGTAGGGAACAAAATCTTTATTGTCCCTGCCATTGTGATGAAAGAGCAACTCCATCTACAAAGTATTTTCAGTGGATGTTAGTATAATGGCTCTAGTGGAGAATGGCTTTCCAAGGGAAATCTGTTGAAAGAACAAAGGAAGATTGGAGCTTCCGAACTCATCTTTGGACTTTCACAAGGATAATTTTAGTTAAAAATATTTCTCAATTTGCTAGTAGTGCAAATATTTCCAAAAAAGGAAAGAAAGAAAAAGAAAAGCCCAAACTGTGTCGGAGTGCTAGAAGAATCTGTACTTTAAAAAATATTGAAACGTACTTTTAAAGGCGCTGTTTGAAAGATTTTCTTGTCTTAACTGTCTCCATTTTCAGATTGCAGACATGCGCCTTTTGTTCCTGTTCAGTTCACACAAGCTTTTCCATGGCAACATACTGAGATATCTGGGGATGAGGCAACAAAGAAAAAAAGGAAGGTTTGCAGGTGGGAAAAAAGAACGAAGATGGTTATGCTGAGGCCACGGAACACGCTTATAACGATGGGTACAATTTTTGGTAAACTGTTTTCACCCCAAACAGCTCAGCTGTGTTTCAGAGTAATGCTTTTGATCTGAGGTTGGTGAGAAAATGGCATGCTCAGATTTGAAGGATTGTTGTGAAACAACTGTAAAACGTCATCAATGGCTACCAGTCTGTCTACACCTCTCAGTCAGGGTTGCTACATATTCCCTTCAATATCGCAAGAATTTAAAATACACATCTCATCAATATCAAGTAGCTGGAAGACACCAATGACTACTGTGTCCATGTATACTCATGGGCTTCCTCTAGACCATCTGGTTGGTTGCTTTAGGAACAGGGTGCTGGTCTAAATGGGCCTTCCTATGTTCTTAGTGCCTGAGAGGTCTTTGCAAGCAGTGGTGGTCATGCCAGAAGCAATTACTTTGGAATCATCCCAAAACAAAGTAAAGTTGGTTCACAAAATGTCTGTATTGTTTTCTTCTCATGGTGGTTACATGCCATCAAGATGTGACTTATGGTGACCCTAATAAGGTTTCTGAAGTATGTGAGATGTTCCAGGAGTGGTTTTCTGTTGACATCCCCAAGTCAGCTCCCATGGCCAAATAAGCATTTAAACCCTGGTCTCCTGAGTCCTAGGCTGACACTATACTAAACTGGTCCTATACTGTCATTTTAATATTCCCTAAATAAACAGAGACTCCATGCACAAAACCTTAGAAGAGTAGCAAGCTTGGTTTTTAGGTTGCTATCTGATTTTTGTTCATAGCTGCACCTGCCACATATAATCTTTTTTGACATTGTGGCAATCCAGAGAACATGGACTATGTGAAATCTAATATGTATAATTAGCTGATGGAGGAAGTCTGCACTCAGAATAATTGGCAGCAATTGGTTTGCTGCATTTTGTCTTCTGTAAATGTAAGCCTGTTGGCAATATTAACAAATTAAGAGGATGTTGCTGAAGCAGCCATGTTTATGACTATTGCAATACAAGAAATAATAGCCACATTACAGCTGTCTAAGTATTAGCTTAATGCTGTACACAGCGTTCTAGAAAAAGGGATAATCAGTGATTTATTTGCAAACATGAATAAAGATAACATTTTCTCCCTCCCTTTGGATTTTCTGCAACGAAACCATATTTAATGACACTGGCTGAGGCATTATTACTTAATAACCCATTCTATAAAAATAAGTGAGTGTACACATTTAAAACTTTTAGGGTTGAACTATCTGTGATGAGGGAGATCTATAATCCATAATCTGAATTTGTTTTTTTTTAATGTGCCATCAAGTCCCATCTGGTTTATAGCTAACTTTTCAAAGTCAGTGAGATATTTAAGGAATGGCTTTACCATTGCCACCCCCCAGTAAGTTTCCAAGGCAACTGGGGATTTCAACCCAGGTCTTCTGAGTCCTAGTCCAACACTCTGTCCCCTACAGCAGTGGTTTCCAACCTTGAGTCTCCAGATGTTCTTGGACTGCAACTCCCAGAAGCCTTCACCACCACCTCTGCTGGCTAGGATTTCTGGGAGTTGAAGTCCAAGAATATCTGGTGGCCCAAGGTTGGGAACCACTGCCCTACACCACATTGGTTCTTCATCGGAACTTCATCTAAATTCTTAAATAAAGCCCCAGATATTAGAAATAACTTTATTTACTGTGGTATTTTCTAAACTGGGGAGGCCCATCCCCATCTGCTCAGATCTCAGTGAGGGAAAAGATGAGATACCTATGCTCCCATTTTGTTCGGTTACCTCTTCACCTCTAAGTAAAACATGTCTACGGACAAATGCTGGCACTGCAGCTTGGATACAGGGATGAGCACCGCGCCCTAGTCCACGACTGGACTAAATGTCAAGGGGAACCTTTACTTTTACCTAAAACATGACTTTGAGATAGCATGGGCTTGTTATTCAGCTTTTCCTATTGATATAGTGTTATGGGGCTCAATGTTTTCTACCATGTAGTGACCACTTCTGAACAGAGGGGATGCCTTAATTCATAATTTCAGTGCCTGGGGCCTTCCAGCTGTCATCTGTGGTGGTGAGATTTGTGTGTGGCTAATATTGGGATGTGTGGACCTATCTACGAATCTTCAGTCCATTCCTCAGCTTATCACTTCAGGCAACACACGCAAGAAACTCTGTTGGCTTCAACAAGAGTTTTCCTTAATGCCAAATGTAAGAAACTGCTGTAGAAATGCAATCTGCTAAAATAGGATGATCCTCTAGTTCCATGCCTTTAGGTCTAGAGAAGAAAAGAAAAGTACATGCATACTCATATTGCACTATCTTCTCTGTTTTGCCTCAAATGATAATATGGGGACAACTTCTGTTTCTCACCTGAGATACATAGAAGTATAGAAGAAGAATACAGAAGCTTTTTTTCTTTAATTAATGAAGCAACTCTCGTGTCTCATTAGAAAAATCCTCTAGCTCCATGCTTTTAGGTCTAGAGAAGAAAAGTAGATGCATACTCATATTGCACCATCTTCTCTGTTTTGCCTCAAATGATAATATGGGGACAACTTCTATTTCTCACCTGAGATACACAGAAGTATAGAAGAACACAGAAGCTTTTTTCTTTAATGAATGAAGCAACTCTCGTGTCTCATTAGAAAGAATGAAAACTGATGTTTTAAAAATATTACATTTACGTTTAACTATAGAAATAGCTTAAAACATTTTTATTCTATTCCATATCCATATCTATTTTACCATATGCAATTAGATATTCACCTTTCTTCTTAGGGCTAATGCTCAGCAACCTTATCAATGCATTCTGAGTAAAAAAAAAAAACACTCAGAACTCATTCCCACCTTGATTTTCAGATCTAGATTCTTCCCTTACCTCTTCCTTGATTCAGACAACCTTATCAATGCATTCTGGGTAAAAAAAACACTCAGAACTCGTTCCCACCTTGATTTTCAGATCTAAGGAAAATAGACTGAGACACTCTTCTTCCCTTACCTCTTCCTTGATTCAGACGTTTTCATTGAACAAAAGCCTAAGACCCAAGTGGTCTAATTAGGAGCAAGATTTACAAAGTCAAAACCAACTGGCACACTACATTTTTGTAGATACGAAGCAGTTTTGGAGTGTAAATATCTAGGCCAATGTACTCATCATATTTGACACATAGGTCAGAATCAACACCCTCCCTACAAAGAGACCCATGAATCCCCAAGCGGGGTTGGGGAATTATGAACTCCTCAGAGTTGTCATTGATTACGACCTGTTGAAACGGTTAGTTCAGGACCTTCACTTCCTGTTAGTTCCAATATGTTTGGTTTGTAAATTTCAAAATCAGCCACAGAATGAAAGAATAGGGATGTGGCTCTGCTTACAGTAGTTGGGCCTCTAGTGAGAAGATAAGCAGAGGATTAACCTCGCTGTGTGAAACATCTCTGAGCGGGGCAGAAAAGCCCATTGGAACGTTCATGAAAAATATAAACAGAGGTTACTTTGATTCCAGCTGAATATAGCACTAATGCATATTCTCTGCTTATCTTCTCACAGGAGGCCCAACTACTGTAAGCTGATTTTGAATATGCTGATTTTGAAATTTACAAACCAAATATATTGGAACTAACAGGAAATGAAGGTCCTGAACTAACCAAAATAATTAGGGTACATGGAAGTATATTCTCTGCTTATCTTCTCACAGGAGGCCCAACTACTGTAAGCTGATTTTGAATATGCTGATTTTGAAATTTACAAACCAAATATATTGGAACTAACAGGAAATGAAGGTCCTGAACTAACCAAAATAATTAGGGTACATGGAAGTATATGCTTGAAATCAAGAATATTGTGATAACACTTGGCAAACTGAGACCAACACGCAAATTTCATGAAAAATATAAACAGAGGTTGCTTTGATTCCAGCTGAATATAGCACTAATGCATACTTCCATGTACCCTAATTATTTTGGCATTGGCTATGTGTTAAAAGGGACAGAAAGAATGTTCACAATATTTCTTGTTATCCCTTGTGTAGGCTGTCTCCAGTGAATCGCCTCAGTAGTGTCTTTTTGTAATACACATCCATACACCCACACAGAAACCACAGAAAGACTATCTAACAAACATGCAAATAATCCATCTAGTGCTTCAGTTTCTGAAATAAAGCAGCAAGTAGCTTTGTTTTAGGCACTTTCAGCATTGTACACAATTGCACAAATTGTGTTAAAAGAAAAGATGGGGGGCTAACACTCCCTGTAAGGCCTGTGGGTTCTGACATCAACTACAAAGGGCTTTTTTTTGCATGGACATTAAATGATTAGTGTTGGAAGAATTTGCACAGATGTTTGCATCAGGTTTTAACAATCAGCCAGTCATTGAGTGCTTGGTTTGTGTGCTTTGCTTCTCAAATGGGAATACTCTTTATTCTATGAACTCTAGCAATTTTTGTCATTGATAAATTTGAACATTTCTCCCTATTTATCCCAACATCCTGAATCTTAATTAAAAGTTATCTTAAATTCGTCTTTGCCTACAGCTGAACCATTCCAGTTACTCCTTGTGATTGGTTCTTCCTTAACATAGCTTGTTTTGAATGTTTCCTGACGTCTTTTGTTTCTTATTCAGCACAGATTAAAAGTAGATATGTAAAATTAAAATAAAAAGCGATCATGCTTAAAGCAGAAAGCTGCACCTCTGCCTTTATTATGCTGAAACTGAAATTGATGTAGGATTACCTTTTAAAAAATCATGGGTCTTTTCTCTCTAATAATAATTAAACAAGGATTTTTGTAATAGTTTTCATTGTAACTTTTGAAAAATGCATAGTGTTGCAAGCTGCACCTAATTCTCCTTTTTAGGGGACTACAGAGCCAGTGTTTTTAGTTACTGGCTGTTTTGGAATATCCTAGCTATTTATATGTAAATAAGCTAGTGTTTTGTAATTGGCCCCAAAA